CAAAACAAAATTTGGCGGAACCCAACATGCATTTTAAAAATTGACTTCTGGCTCTTTATCAAAACATTTTAATTACTCTAGTAGTTGGCCATATATTGCATATTCCTGTACAGCACTGCATAGGTTAGAAGGGACTGCCGTAAGCTCTTTCAAAGGGCCACACATATTCCCGGCGGTTTTCGTAGGTCCGGTACATAAATTACCTACTGTGTTGCAGTTGGAACCACTTGGAATAAAACTGAATGGCTTTTCTTTAACTCTGTCTTACCATTTTCAGTATATCCTTTCCAAGCATGTACCAATGAGTTTATCGAGTAAAGTCGGTAAACCCGACTTAACCATGCTTGTATAGGGTAGAGTTACCTGTCCAGTAGGCAGTTTGGCACAAAAGACCTTACCATATGCAACTTTCGAACCCCGACCAGTAGTATCCTTATGACTGCAGAGATATACGACCATTATAGAAATGTAAGGATAATATTCTGAGGAAGATAAATTTGACCATAATGCAATTAATATACTACAATTAAACTTTCAGATTTTGGAAGAACATTAAAATAAGGAAGTCAGAAATATCGAACATGTTTCAAGGATCCCGCATATAGCCCTTCTCGAGCTAAACTGATGTTTGGTCCATACGAAACTCAGAAACGCATAAAATCATCTCGAGAAGCCAAGGATAACAACCTATGAACGTTGGTTTCAAATATTAAATCTGAAAATGAACTGCATCGACTGAAAAAGTCATTATCATTATAGTACCTATTTGAATAATAGTGGATTCTCTGTAAAGCTAATAACCTAAGTAATAAATTTTTGATTGCCTGAAGTGAATATGCACAGAGACTTAGTATACTGAAAATAGCATGTAGTTCTTTGAGTGGGAGATGAGAACGTGTTTCAGAATGTCACCAATGGGAAAACTTTTACGCGTTTTTTCCTGTTTGTGATATTCCGAAACACATTAGATCCATAGTATGCGTAAATGGCTTAATCGGTATCCGGCCGAAAGCCGCAACATTACTATAATATTATTTAACGCGAACTGGCGATGGTATGATTGGTACGTTAAGTAAACAAAGAAAACGAGTTACCCTTAAAAACTATTACATAAGGACAAAAAATCATCTGTTCAGTTTTAACATTTGCAATGTCTGCATTGCTGTTGTGTACATCACTCAAGATTTATCATACAATTTTCGTATACAGGTATACGAGCTAGCAGTACTTGTCATAGATATTGCAATGAAGCAGAGATATCGTACGAATGAACCCTGACGATTTCGACTTTACACCAAACTCACATAGAACGCAGTACCACAAGCTACTCCCTTCAATTTTGCTGCAAAAAGATTTTGACCTCAAGAAACGGTCACATTAGGCCATAAGGCGACCCTGTTTAACAAAAGCTTTTGCTCATACTGCCTTCAGAATAACTACAGCATTCGGAATGGCAGTGACTAACAGGTTCAATTATGGGACACATGGAGGAGAATTCGATAGAGAAAATCTAAAGATTCAAACACTCTACTGTTTGCAAAACACGTGACAGAATTCTCCTTTTAATCTGACATGTCGACTTCCAACGGGGAAGCTATCATCAAGACACTTCACACAATGATACAACAGAAAGTTAAATAATAAAGTACAAAAATGACATAAAAGTCATCTGCGTTAAAGAAAGCGCACATGTAAAACAAAATTAAAAAAATTTTACAAGGATGAATGGGTGAGAGTTGCAGATGCCGTAAGGATGAAACTCGAAAAGCCATGGAGGAAATCTGAAATTAAGAGGAGGGAGTCGCGCTGCAGATTTTCAAGCGGAACAGATGTTAGTGAAGCCTGAACAGCTGTTGCACATCTTTCGCTCATCTAGAGAAATATTCGTGGACTCTTTAATAAGGAAGCTTAGGTTGCCTTTTTCAGTCAACGATGCTGTCTTTAATATTGCAATTATACTCGTACTTTAAAGAAATCAGAAAGCTCTTTTTTTAAAACCGCGCCATGGTGTTCTCTTATTCGTTTTTAGGGATTCTCTACGTCATATCAATAAAAGTGTACCACAGTTCATCCAATAAACAACCTAGAGTTGTCATGGTTAACTAAAGAGCATAATTTCATACAAAGAATGCTTTCCAACTGGCTGCGTGGCATATGAAGAACTCAAAAGCCTTGTTGTCGGCGATAATATTTAAGCGCAAGAGGTGCCGGAATTAAAAGGAATGAAAATGAAAGATATTAACTCGTAAGACATTTTTCGGCACCTTGTTTCTGATGAAGACGAATTGGAACTTATATAAGTGATTGGGTATTTATTTTTGTTGAAATCAAGTTCCTCATTTAAGATGGCAGGTTTTATCCAACACCATTGAGTGATGAGTTTCGTATTAATGATAATAACAATATGCAAAATGATGTGGGTTAGGCTGGAGGCACAACGTCACCGATTATTAGATTTTGGGCTTACTGAAAATGCTGAAGGATAATGTGTTAGATGAATTATCCTTAATCAAAGATCAGACATCAGTTTAACGTAGATATCATCAAACGCCCAGTTTCCTGACGTATTGGCCCTAATGCCAACTGTGTGCGACTGACAATAATGCGTAATATAATAGACATTGGTCTAACCATAAAATTGCTGTTTCTTCAATTTCTGACCAGATCACCTTTGATCAACCATAACTAAGATGCTGCAACTGTTACTAGACTAAGCAATCTGAGTCGATGCGAGTCCAAAGAGTGAAATCTGTCGCTTAAGTAACAAACTGGCATTAGTACAAGATCCAAGGCAACTTGCTAACAATAATAGCAAATAGCAACCTCTTACCTTCCGGGGCGAATTATTCTATATGTTCCAGAAATCGACAAATCGATCACGGTGGACCCACTTCTGCTCTGCTCAGTTTCGGAAAGCTGATTGCCATCGATTATTAGTCCAATTTTTGGCCACAAGCATTGAAATTCTTCGACATTCAAACAACTTCGGGTGTTGCTTAAATTAGCACTTGTCAACGCAATTGGTCCAAATGAACGGCACAGCTGGCGAATAAACTCGTGGTCAGGAACACGTACTCCAACCAGATCAGTGAAGGGGTTCAGGCATAGAGGTAGCGATTCGTTACGCCTGAAAACTAGAGTGACCGGGCCTGGGAGGAGTTCTTGCAAGAGACTGGTACTGGCAGTCAACTTTGCGACTCTAGAACGATTGTCAAATGATAATATTAAACATAACAGAAGCTCTGGGGTAGAAACCATAAATGGCAACTTTTCAATTCCGCCGGTACATGTTAATTTATGCATTTAATACTGAACTTACCTGGCGCAAGCGCACCGCTCCTAGACGCCTAGGGGTATTACTTAAGCAGGAAACGGCTGTGGTAATTAAACGCCTGGATTGGATGCAAAACCGCATTTCTAAGTTGCGTTGATCAATGCGTACTCGAACACTATAGAATTTGCCCCTGTCCACAGGTGAATATATAGGCAAAATATTGCCCCAATATTTGGAAAGGATACGACAAATACAGCTTTCCAATTCCGCAAATAAATAGCTACAGAAACTGGCAAATTCTCGGTGCTCGAATACTCCTTGTTCGGTCAAACTCAAAGATGCGGTGTTATAGCTGAGGCACTGCAGGTGCTCAAATACTGTGGCCGTTACCTCCTTATTTGCCCCCCCCCACCCCAGAAGACTACCATTAACCGGCGGTGTGCTTACATAAGATTATGTGCGTTAATCTTGTATTGAGAAATAAAACGTAATAAAGAACAATGCAATGCAAGTGAGCAGCTTCTCACAGAGGTGTGAAAAATTGTTTTTAAAACGTTACGTATGAACTCTAGCGAATGCAAATCTCTGTTTCAATAAATGCGTCGATGTCAGACCATGAAGTGACAGATTTTTGTGAAAAAAATAAAGAAAATAGATTTACTGTGTTCATTCGCATGTCAGACAAAATGATTAAGGATATGGGACTTATTCTTTTCTTAACACGTGATTAGGATATCCCAAATACAAGACGTCAGTTAACAGCTCATGAGCTTCGCTACCCATGCGATAATGTAATTAAGGAGTGACTTTAACAGCGTCAGTAACGAAATGCGCTGATAATTCGCAAAACTTTTATATCATTGTTGGACATTCAGCTGTCCTAACCTTCATAAACAAAAAAGCCTATCAATTTCGACTGATGCATCGACTGATGACTGCTTATCCTTTCAGGTCGGGAAGACAAGCGCGTCAGGCAAAGTCTTTGAATCAGGAAATCGTCTACTATGTAGGATATGATATGTACTTGATAGAGTTGCTTTCAAGATGAAAAAATGTCTATTACGATGTTAATCTGTAATGAGGTAAGACCTAAAGAGGTATTGCAAATATCTGAATTTCCGCTACAGAATATCTACGGTGAATGTCGAGGGATTTTTCTGATCAACAGCCTCCTCAGAAATGCATAACGAAACGGATCTAACGTAAATGACTAAATTTGACCGGCAAAATCTGAATTTAAAATTAGCCCATATTTAAAGGTGGTCAGTTTTTGAGATTTTGGAATTTTGACGTAAAGCATTTTACACGCGCAAATTTAGATTTTTCTTTTTTTCGAAGACTGGTTATTACTCATATGCGCATTATCTACCAGATTTCGAATTTCCGATATTCTAGATAACACGGAGTAATGATACATACCGCAACTTATGTCAAAAAACTTTATCGCTTATGCATCTATGGCTGTTATTCTGCTTATTGTTGTAATCGCTATGTGAGGTCATAGCTATGTCATATCAAACACCGAGTATCCAGATTAATAATGTCTTATGCTTTCTTCTCAGAATGATTTAGGTGATGCTGATTGCTGTGGTATCTATCATATCGGTATCATGATTTTATACAAATTATCTTCTTCACTGAACCTCGAATAATAACAATAACAGCAAGAATGTGCCGTTCCAAGGCACAATTATTATCAATGTGCCATGTCTGAATAATATGATTATGATATGGCGTGAAGGATGTTATTTTTTCTCAATTTCCTAGTGTCATTCATTAAGAATCGACCTGGTCTTCTGGTCGTCTTGTTTGAGAATCGCCATCATTGGTTATCGTCAAAGGGTAGATGTAATGACTAAAAGTTCTAGCCATGGTTTCTCTGAGGATGAATATGGATGACTCATGAATGCTTCTGTTCGTGCGTCCTTGAATAGCTCAAGAATTTTGTATTAAGCATCATTACGTTTCTAAGCCTGAGAGAGAGATTACTTTTTCCACATTGCCAAATATATATATTCCTGCATTTCAAAATGGCAGAATTTTGTAAACAAGCAGTCATTCGGGAAAAAGCATCAACTGTGTTTCTTCCTCTGAATGCACTGCAAGTTTACCAACAGCAAGGTAACTTGTCGCTTTCTGATAGATATATATTAAGTACTATAAGCAGAATTACAATAAGAAACGAGCAAAATAGTCAAAGCAGAATTCGATTAAGGCTGAAAAGAGTAGTTTAGACGATGTTCCCGCCCACAGAATCATGTTTAATTCCATCTGTCATTTCTTTGCGTCGTTCATCCCACATCGTAATTCTAGTGTTTCCCAAGTAATCGCTGTTGCATAGCTTGATTTTCCCCATAAGCTTTTGCATTTGCATGTTTCTGCCTTGTGGTGTCTACCGTACTATTAGTTTCCAACGCGTTTGTGACAGGACTGCAGTTATCGAGGCATGTAATGCCTCTTCAAACGCCCACCACCATCTGTATATTTCACGAAAACCGTATGAAGTTTGGACAAACAGGTTGTGACTCTGAGACATCGAAAAAAATACGTGAATTATCTACCCTACTTGCTAACGTCTCGCGGGTCGCCTACGCAAACGGCGATCGGTTTCGCATGATCGCGTCCTTTGATGTCATACAGTTTTCCTACGGAGCCCAAAGCTGATGCAATTCCATAAATCGTATCCGTTGGTACAGCGATGACGTCGCCGGCAAACAGAGCCTGATGAGCTTCCTGAACACAATGAGCGATGTCTAAAGAACAGAAAGGAACGGGATCATGATGACTTATCTTTCTCTTAAACTACTCGATAAATGTTGACTTAAACAATACATACTTTTTCATATATCTTACATTTGATTATTCTACTTTATCTCACTTGCCGTAATAGAATCAGAGATCAGTTAGAATACTAAATTATAGTCATCTGTTTTATTATCTAATTTCATCGTTGAAACTATAGAAACAATTTGTCATAAGGAAGTAACGTTCGACATACCCGATCGATAATCATTTAAACTTTACACACCTGCGCCATTTGCATGATGTCAAGCACATCTAAAACTATAAACGATAATTACATCACAGAGGCCACATTATGGGCCACAGAACAACCGTAAAATTAGTTCGCTCTTCATAAATACACCTTAATATCAATGTTTTGAGAAAAGCAGGTAAAAAAATGTCTCCATCCACATAGCCCAAGACTTTATTTACAAGACAGAATCTCGAAACAGTTGGAAACAAAAAAACTCGGTAGGCATTAAAATTTTCATGATGAACAGTATTTGAAGAATCATTCGTTGATGAGCTTATGCTGGAGTGGTAATCGCTCACTTAGTCAATACCCATGCGTATTTCCCAACCGTATTACTTTAAAGACCACATATGATACCGCGACTCAGGTGCTGATGCAGGATCAAGAACGTTCGAAATACCGCTTGAAGCCACCACTGTTTCACGACTCGAACGGATAAGCGGTCAATGAAACAGACAGACTGACTGAATGAAGGAAGGAAGGAATGACTGACACCATCTGTAACTAGGATGTCACTAAGGAGAGTAGTGTTATGCTGCCTTCCCACATATGATACTAATTTACCCACCTAAGACGATGATAAGTGACTACCCCAAGCGGATTCGTATCTTTGATCTTTCTACTACAGTTCCAACTTCGAATAACTGAGCTACCCTACACTAAACGGTTGATCAACTGGGCACTTGTATAAAAAAGCTGATCGATCAGATTCGTGCAACTCAAGTCAGTCGTTGAAATGATACTCTGACTACAATCCTGGTCAAAAAGGCTACTGCTTAGCATGAAACAGAGCATTATAAAATATCGAATCGTCTATTTTCTGATATGGTATTCAATCCGCATATTCAAAATTAGGTGCAAAGCAACAAAACTAAAATCCCTGATCGGAAGCAATGACACGATTATATCTCAGAATTAAATAATCTTCTGTTCAATCCATCAAATTATCAGGAACGCGATGCTAGGGAAATCGCTATCTGTTGGGGTTGAGATATTTTCAAATTAATAGAGAAACTATGCTACTTAATACGGACTGAACACGGTGGTAGCTCGCATTGCTGGCTCCCCAGAAAGTCAACATCGGCATCAACTTCACATAGACTGGCAACGACCAATGTAAAGAATCGAAGTGTGACAAAACAAATATCGAATAACCGGTATCATAGCCATGAAAAGCTTCTACGAAGCATCAAATACTCAGATAATTAAACTAGAGTGCAGAAGAGTTAACTAAACGCCTTAAACCATTGAAAAATGTAATTATGAAAAAACACATAATGATGACAAACCTGCACAGAAAGAATGAGGTCACGTTTTCACGATTACCTGAATAAAGCATTGTGAGATATTTTTATGCCGTCTATTAAAAGAAATTAACAACTTCCTATACTAGATAGAAAAGGTGACTCACATCATTAGATGGACGGATAATATCTCAAAATGTCTAGAAAAGAACACACGCTTTTAGAATCGCAAAGATCAATAAATATGGCACCAAACTGTGCATTATTTCGACAAAAGTCTCAATACTGAATTGCATTGTGTGTATTACAAATTGTATGACAAAACACGTCAGAACAGCGGTAACAACAAAAGCAGGAAGACAACTTAAAAACCCAAATGAACTCGCGGCTACGTGACACAGTTCGTAACACCTACAATTTTTTCAAATCTGTTTCGATTCATTGTTTGACGAAATTCGCACTGAAGCTTTCATATTAAACTCAAAACTACATCCATATGGGATTGCCAATTCAGTGATATGATAATGGGCCTTCGGTCAGTTATGCATCTCCTTATCGAACCCGGCCACATTTCTTTCAAAATGTTCAGCATACCATCATTTCAGCTTTATGCTAAATAGTAACACAGCAGATTCCAGCTTGTGAAAAAAATACACCCGCCAGCAGTCATGTTTTCTGTTCCGACGACCTCCACCAAAACATTAAGGCAAAACAGCTAGCACTTGCTCAAACGGCCGACTAAAGACTCAGCGGACGATCAAGAATGACCGGAGGCAAATG